TGATATAAAATTAACTAATTACAGCACATGTCGATGTTCTAGCAAATTTATTTCAAAGTATGGCGCAATGTGTCCTGCTGCAAGCGTATTCAACCGCATGCATGGAGAAGCCTCCGAGAACAATACTCTGCTCTGTTACATAATATATATGGAAATACCACATCACTACAATCGTGACAACGTTGGTAAACCTTCGGCCCCAATACGTGCCGAACTGAAGAAATACGTGGCACATGTTCTTGGAGACGACCATGACGAATTTTGTCATATGTATGAATGCTGATGATGAATGCTGAAAAAAGTCTGAGCCGAATTCCATCCATACCATGATCATCACTCTGGTACATGTGTCCACTCAGATTTTCAGTAGGTTTGAATATGTGCCAGTGTTCCGTTGACCTAGTACTAGTGTATTGGATGCTAGACAGATGCTCACGTTGACCCATGCCGCAGAGATCTCGTCTGCAGAGGGACACAACGTGAGTTGAAATTTGCTGGTGTGTTTTTGACAAGTACCTACTCAACTTCATCGATCGATTGCTTTAACTTGAAACATATAGATTTCGACAAATGCGTGGTTATCCATTATCACTGTTAATTGATTTCGGCGTGGTCGTTCCGATTCTGTTTAAAAGCTGACTGTATTTCTCCGGTAGTTATAATTTCCTGGTACCGGTATTGGCCCCGGTAGTCACTTTGCAAGACTGCATGGAACGGGTGGGTCATTAAAATCAAAATAATGATCAACACATTACATGTATTTGCGATTCCGGTCACATACATCGTAGGATGCACCTAAAGCCTAATCTCAAAGCAGATCGCACGGAGGTATGGCTGGACCATTGGCCAAAGGAGTGACCATTAGTTAGATTACCTAGTACCCACGATGGACCTATGATGATGGGTTTTCTGCGACGACCGTACGTCATAGCTAAAAGTTTGCTTCTCAAAGAGTTACTTCTCAAAACCTACGTCGTACGGCGCTATGTTCGCGGAAACTTCATTGCAGGTGCATTGTAGTTGTAGCAAGCATGGCGATTTCACAGGCTGGTAGAAGGGCAAATCCGGGCGTGACGTATCCCATTTGTCACAGACAACCTCCGCCTGGAGATTCTCTGCAGTAGTGATGCAGGTAATGGGATTAAGTGATAGAACCGAAATCCACAACGACTCTAATAATGGCGAAAAACAGTTAAGCCCCCCCCACCACCACGCGAGACGGAGATCGCCGAGCGACTGTACGGCGACCGAAATCCGAAATTGGATTTGTGTGACTCCCTTCATATCATAATTACCTTCGCCAAGAAGGTTATGTTTTCAGTAGCGTTTGTCCGTCTGTTTGTCCGTCTGTTTGTTTGTGAACAGCATAACTCAAGAAGCTTAATATGCATTGTCATGAAACTTGGTAGGTGGGTAAGTCTTGATGAGACCTAGAAATGATTAGATTTTGGGCCCCCTGGCGGCTTTTGTTGGTACTGCAGCAGAACTTCCGGTTTAGATATCTCGCGATCTGGACATGCTAGGGTCACAAATTTTGGTTGGTAGGTAGTTCTTGGGGTAGGGAAGAAGTGACATGAGTTTGGGCCCCTAGCAGCTTGTTCTGAAACTGCAGGAGCGTTTCTTGAAAAATCTCCGAAGGTCGATAACTTAAGAACCGGTTGACGGATTGTCATGATTTGGTATGTAGGTAGCTGAAGTAATAGTTGACATGATCAGATGACAATTATGCAAATCAGGAGCTAATCAGCATAATTAATGAGAAAATTCTATAAATCTGCTTCATTCGATAATAGGACTATGAAACACTTGTGACATGTAATTGAGAACGAGAAAAACATCTGAGCATATAGATTATGTAAATGAGGACCTAATTTGCATAATTAATGAGAAATTGTTATAATCTCATAGTCGTAATTGCTGGGAATTTCATACTTGCCACATTTGGAAGTTAATTGAAGGTGAACATCAAAGAAGATAATTAATTCACATTATGACCTCATTTGCATAATTTATGAGGAAGTGCTAGAATAGCCTTTTTTGTTAAGATAAGGCTGTCATTTGGTGGAGGATATGATCAACTGATGTAATCCATGCAAATGAGGCTCTTATTTGTGAAGTCAATGAATGAGAAAAACATATAATTCGTCAACCGGAAGGGTTAACATCATTTGACGAAGGTATGAGATCGTGAAACTCTTGTTTGAATATGATGCACGATGGAAAGTATAATTTGAAATACGCCAAACAAACAACGTAAAATGTAAATGTCTGTTATGCTCAATTGAGCGCCAGTCACATCGTTGGTCGCTTTTCAGGGTCAAAATGTCAGATACAGGAAATGGGGTGAACTTGAAGGTCACATAAACCCAAAATACTTCCCGGATCCCGGTAGTCTAAAATCTCCGATTTCTTGCTTTCAATAGTACCTGAAACAGTTCTGCCTCGTAGCAAAGTGCCTATGTCTGTAAACTGGACCGCAGTGACCCACGGAGTGAGAGGGGGTACTGCATGTAACACACTCGTCACTGCAACATCTAATACACTCTAGTTTTCCACAAACAGCCACCATGAACCAACGATAGGGAAACAAACTATGCCAACATTAACGGGTGACCGCACTCTCACTTCATCATGCTATTCACACTGATTAAACTGATCCACTCAACTAAACATGCCTATCTGTTACCTCCCACCTCAGGTACGCTCTCGACTTTCGACCTGGCTAACTACATTTTCCCTTGCGACTGTAGCCTGGGAGCCATGACATTCCTAAAATTCACGATCTAGGGGGTTCGGTTGGCTTTTCATAATTCACGCCATGTTGGGTTTAATGCAAGATTTTATACATGGAAATTACATAACGGGAAGAATTTACGGCTACAGTAAAGTCTAGGTTCCCTTACTCGACCTTTCACAGTATTTTGAAAGTATACGAAATAGCAGCTGACGCTTCTGGTAGGAGCCAGGGCATTGTGACATTACCTCACGTCAATATGGACCATTCAGTAGTACTGACAGAATGATATTACGATACAAGCAGTTCGACCCAGTAAACGTAGAATGAACATATGAAAAAAGGTGTGTTTTTACCTCCATAAAAAATGGAGGTATTGTTTTTGGCGTGTCTGTCTGTATGTCTGTGTGTCTGTCTGTCTGTCTGTCTGTGTGTGTTTCCGCAACTTTGTAGTCAGCATAACTTTAGAACGCCTTTATGGATTGTGATGATATTTGGTATGATGGTAGGTCTTAGGAAGACAAAGGTCAAGGTCAAGTATGGGCCTCCTGGTGGATGACCTTGGTACTGCAGCAAAACTCCCGGTTTTTGTATCTTTTGTCCTGAACAAGCTATGGTCTTGACTTTTTGGTGACAGATAGCTTATCCTGTCAGGAATAAGTGGCGTAAGTTTGGATCCCCCTAGCAGCTTGTTCTGGAACTGCAGGTTAGTTTCTGTTAAAAACTTTCTAAGCCAATAAGTCCAGATTGGAACAACGTATTTTTATCATTTTTGGTGTGTAGGTACCTGAGAGACAGTTGTACATGATTAAATGCAAATTATGCAAATGAGGACTTAATTTGCATAATTAATAAGGAAATTCTATAATTACAGTGTTTAACATATAATGGTACTGCTATACATGTAATCTATTTAATCTGTGGCAGGCGGAACATCAACAGATATCAATTATGCAAATGATGACCTAATTTGCATAATTAATGTGAAAAGTTTGTTAATCCTTATTGGTGAATGATGGGAATTTTATACCTCGTAACATGTGTAAGTTACTTAAATGTTTGCATCGCTATGCATATATTATGTTAATGTAGAGGTTATTTGCATAATTAATGAGGACAAAGCAAGCCCATATTTCATGAAGGTATGAGATCTCGGAACTCTTTTTCTTTATGTTTCTGCTTAAAGATTTCCTTGACATCTTTCTTCTTGGCTTCCGGTCTTCCTCCTTCCTTTCCGGAGGTATTGTAGGACAATTTGTATTAACAACATTTGATAGACTTGTTTAACATTTAGCATTGCTTAACTGTTATCCTACGCATGAAAACGTGTGTGGGTATTTATTTGTGTAACTTTTCTTTGTAAATCGAAGCCAAGAAGAAAGATGTCAAGGAAATCTGAATTTCATATTTTTCCCAGTAAAATCTTTTACCTAAGGGAACCGATTTCAGTCAAACATGAACCTGTAAATGTTGTCTTTCCTCCTATGATTGAGCGTGATCTGAAATGTTGTGGTTAAAATAAGATCTAAATCTCTCGGGGTTACAGCAGATAGGGACCATCCTTCCAGCAACTTCATGTTTTTGGTCTCTTATCGCGAACGTCCAGCGGCTTCCTGTAGTTCCTCACATCCAGACCGAGCTTGATGGCGCTTCCGGTCTTCCTCCTTCCTTTCCGGAGGTAGAAATGAATCATCCCTTCTTCCCGCAGTTAGTAGTGTTCTCCCAACTCTGTCTCCAGCAGAAGTACGCCTCGGGATCTGTACTTGCTGTAGAAACACGATAGCGGGAGACCAGACGTGCTGGTTAGAGTTCAATGTTATCTGAGACAACATTGTATGCTACTTCAATGATCTGTATCTGTATCTGTATAGCCGGTATAACCGCCTTTCGGCGTAACACACCAGCTTCGCAGGCACGCGGCGCGGCGGCAGCTGGCTATATTACACCGATCGACTTGTTACACCTAACCCTTGAACTTCTAGCTCTAGACATTGTTTAAAGCTATCTATTGACAGTGCCCCTACTGTACCTGGTGACAGTGAGTTCCACTCTGCGATAGTTCTAGGAAAGAATGAATTCTTGAACACCTCAATCCTTGGTTGATAACTCTGGTACTTGAATGCGTGGCTATTTCTTGTTCTCTTCTGGGCTGGTATTAGGTACTTAGTAGTTGGGACATCCACCAGTTTATTAGTCATTTTGT